TTCACCACTTCGCCGTCGCCGTCGCCTCCGCGGCACTCACTTAGTGCGAACTATCTTGTCCATACTTTCGGCTTCCATCATCCGAAAATGCACCCCTACCAACACAATGGGCCACACAGGCTCAACCACGGGCCCGCCATTACCCGAGCTCCACACCAGCAGCCCTTACCCGGGCTCCATATACAAAATCAAAAATGTTCCCTTCCATTCGACCAACCAGCCTAAGTGGATTTAGTGTTCTGCAGAGCTAAACACTCGGCAGTGCTCCCTTGCAAGAAGAACTAGACTTAGACGACGAGTGGCCCGAAAGCATTTTTCATCACGTATGAAGTCAGAGTGTGAGTTATGTGTTAAGTGTTCAGTGTGAAGTGTTAAGTCGAGTGAGTTGAGGCAGTGTGTGGGTCTCTGTGTGTGTATCTATGTCTGTGTGTGTGTGTCCCTGTCTGTGTGTGTATGTGTCTATGTGTGAAGGTCTTCACTCTAGATATAGTGAACCAAGTAGAGCGCAGGCCTCCCAAGCGTCCACTGCCCGCAAAGTTCGCATGGTTGGGCCCCGAGGTCTCGCCCAGGTAAGTTTTCAGCCGCAGTGACCAGCGCAAACGCCGCCCTCTTGGGAAAGGAGCGCTGGCGCTCCTCGCGCGGCACTCCGCGATGGTCCTCGCGGAATAGGTGTCTCCACGCCACCTCTTGGTGTCTTTCTCGCTGCGTCCGCACAACGCTGAATAGGTCCACCACACACTGTTCGCAAACATAACCCATAATACCACACCTCATTCGTCTCTGAGGCGACACGCCGTCTTGTCAGACACTCTTGTGGGTCATCCCCAGCTACTCCGGGTACTACAGTTGTACCACAAAGTTGCCAGTTCTCATCTTCCAGCTCCCAGCTATTCCGCGTACTACAGTTGTACTACCAAGTCCCCAGTTCTCATCTTCCAGCTCCCCAGATCTCCGCGTACTAAACTTGCACTACCAAGTCACTAGTGTTCGTCCCACCCTCCGCTTTAAAGAGAATTTATAAACTGGGGAAATGTTTTTCATTAGGACATCTCCCGTGAAAGTTTTCCATACTCACTGGGATACTTACACTTGCATTACACTTGCATACTTTTGCACTTGGATACTTACACTTGCATACTTGCCCTTGGATGCTTTCACTCTTACACTTACACTGGGATACTCACAAGTACACACTTGGATACTTCTGTGCCATTGTGCGTATAGAAGTGTAATATGTTCAAGTGTAAGTGTGGGAGCGTAAGTGTTCAAGTGTAAGTGTAGAAGTGTCAGTGTTCAAGTGTAAGTGTAGAAGTGTCAGTGTGTAAGTGTAGAAGCGTAAGTGTTCAAGTGTAAGTGTAGAAGTGTCAGTGTTCAAGAGATTTTCCGGAAGAACTCTTCGCAATGCTTTCGGGAAAAAGCTTTGTGGTTTCATCACACCTTAGGCCCCAGGTGCTCTGCTACCAACTCACAAGCGCAGACTTTTTCGTCTATCTGCAAGCCTCTATGATTTCAGTTGTTCACACTGATAACAACAGGTCTTTACATGTCTCAGTGTGTCATCCAGGAAAGGCATGTGGTCGTTAATAGCTTATGTGACTTTCGTAACGTTTGGACAAGGAGCTGCTAAACCAACGCGTTTAGACTGGAAATTGAATATCGAGCCAAGCCAATGCCTTTTGAACATGGGCTGGCAATACGCTAGTGCTGCTAGCGCAGCCTTGCCTGACTGACTGTCAGCGTCTGAAGCTCTTCTGCACATCACTTTGAGATGAATGCTCCAGTCGCCATCGTAATCAGTGCGGCGCGCACAGACCTCAACTGAGCATTCAGAATGAAATATGAAGAACGATGGCATGTTGTAAGCCTTCTGCCAAAAACACAATTTGATGAACTGGCCCATCAACTTTTGAGGATCGCACTTGACCATTCTCTTGGTAGATGTGGAAGGTGTCCGGGTAATTTCCAATGTGAGACACTTCGACTGGGCAAGTCACTGGTCCTGGCAAACTACAGCTGCAACACTACTGCTGATGATGACGACAACTCTCCCACGCTATGTAGGCCCACGGTGGCTTGATGCGAGTTTCCACCCGAAGGTCCGTCGAGTCTAGTGCTAGGCTTCAGGCCTCACCTAGCAATTTAGTATCAAATTGCTAACTGACACCATCTCTCCAAAGCGTGCTCATAGTTCTGTAAACCTGGAACAGCACCTGCACAAACAGCTCAGCAACATCCATTGCCAAAGCGCGCATGCACCAACAGGTCCAGAAGCTGACTCATAGGTCCAGAAGCACCTGGAACAACTCACTATCTCCCACACAGTTCCAAAAAACGCCGGAACAGCACCTGCACCGACATAAGCACACACACACATAGTTTCAGAGACAAGCACCTGCACCAACACCCTGTCTCTAAAGTGAAATCATTGTGGCACAAAAACACCTGCAACAGCACCTGATCGACATCCTATCGCCAAAGCACGCCCACAATTCCAAAACTCTTGAAAGTAACTACACCGGCGCCGACAGCACTTGCACCGACACGTTTCACAGCCAACTCATTCTATGTTTGAAGTAAGAACCCCATAGCCATCACATGCCATCACTATCTGCGAAATACTCGCAGACTCCTCAACCACTCAAACTGTCCAGCGTGACCTGTCTGAATGACGCACATCGTATCGGATAAACAGGTGTCACGATGTTTCGTCCTTCTGGTGTCACGCACTTGGTCTTGTAGCCATAACTGGTTCCAATATTGACCTCACAAGGGAAAGCTAAAGCCTGAAAGCCCCATGCCAAATTCAGCCCCTGGCTCTGTGCTCAAACAAAATCATGAAAAATACTTTGTTCAGCTCAGCATTCGAATAGCATCAGTGTGCCAAGTCTCTGGTTTTGAAAACCTGAACTGGGCCTGAACCCTGATCAGTTTGTATATCAACCACTTGAGTTGAACTTGTTGAAGCTGAATGATGTACCAACCTCTCAAAATTCCGCAAGCCTCCACCTCCCAGCTGCGCGCAAATGGCAGAAGGATTGCCAAGAGGACAGCATCATGGAAAATACTCATGGCAAGCAGGTTCGTTAGTTACGTAAGGAATGAAAGAATAGACCAAATAGGGCTAAATCATTACCACTTGTTGTTTTCAGCAGCTGTACCGGTTTGAGAGGAAAACCTAATAGACACTTGTGCCTAGGGTTTTCAGACGATGCGTGCACCCTGTGGCAAATGGTGGAATACAAGCAGAATACTGAATAGTCTCACAATCAATGCTAAGCAAATTGAGCCAGAGATTGAACAGCCACACAGGAAACTCCCAGTTTTCCTGTAACGAAAGTGCGCAAAATGTTGCACGATTCTTCTAGGAGCCACTCTTGGCTCATTGTACTATAAACAAATGTTATAGACCGGTTTTGCGTGTGTGTGCCCCATAAGAAAACGTTGCAAAATACACACACTGAAAGCACTGAAAGCACTATGCATTTGCTCCTCGATCCTTTAACCAATGCTCCTCCGGGTTCTTCCCAGGGTGCACTAGCGATGGTGTTTTTCTCTGTTCCGTCCCCTAGCGATGGGTCAAGCAAGATTTCGTTCCTCTCCTTGCTTGCAAGACTTCGTCTCTGACTGCTTGGAACTTGGAAGCTGCGTTGAAAACCAGTGAAACGTGTTGATTTGCAGAGCTTGTAAAGCCCCAGCCCATCCTCAAAAACCTTTTATCAAGGCCATAGGATGTAAATGCTTGCGCCAGCGAGATGATGATTGGAACTGAACAAAACTGGCAACTTGCTACAAAGCTTCAGAGGAATTAAAAGAGTTCCGGATTGGCCCCAGGTTCCAGTCTTTGCTCCTAGCGCGACATCAAGGGATGTTCATTTGCACAAAAAATACCTATCTGGGTAGACTATGGTACAAGTAGTTAAGTTCTTTGGCGGTGGAACTGCAGCACATGCACCTTGTCCCACACTCCCAACACAAAGCAAGGAACCTGCTGGAACCTTACTTTTGGACAGGGCACTTTCTGTTTGGAAAACCGAAACTGAATCTCTGAGTGAGCAAACGCCCACCATGCTGGAACCCATGTTGACTAAAAGCACTATGCTCTTCAGCTACCAAGAACGTAGCTATGGGCCAGAATTGTCCACAGTCCGAGAAGAATTGTCCAAATCAACCCTTCAGAGACTTGTTTTCGTCCTTCGGCTGCATATCATCGACGGTTTGACGAAGCAACGCCACCGTGGAGCTGAGTGTGTCAATTTTCTTCCTCGGCTGAGAGTTCAACGGCAACAGCCGAGGCTCAGAGTTTCAGCTTTTGGTTTGCATTCGAACTGAAACAAACACACTAGGTCACTAGGAAATCAAGATGCTCTCGATCTTGAAGATGAACAATGACATCCCTGGCACAGTCCGTCCAATTTGGCGGTACACATTCGACGGGGAGCAACCCTCTGAGGCCACACAGGGAAGACCGCGTGATGCAGAACAAAATACCATCAACCCATGAAAAAAGAGTAGAAAACAAATTGGGAGAAAGTGGTAATACAACGAGGCTGGCAAAGCAAGTGCATGTACTCTGATCATTTTGGGGAGCCTCTGGTACACCAGAAAAACCGAAGCAATCAAATGATATGGTGATGAGTGATGAAAGTGAAGCGAAAATGACCTTCTGCGATGCGAAGATGAGTTTCTGTCTGTGAAATAAACATGTGAAAATTGTACGTTTACATTTGTACAAGTGCCCACATGTCAGAATCATCACATTGGAAGGCAATCAGCGCATTTCTAACAAACACAGCAGAGTTGGAGCTGCCTTTTGCCAGAAACATCCTTCACGTTTTTTTTCTGGTGCGTTGGAGCTCTGGTTTAGCGCACCAAGGCACTGGAAGACGAGACAAAATGGATGACATGACATGACGGGAAAATGAAGGCTGCCCCGCACTGCTTCGCCATGCAAGCCGCATGTTCAACTCTGTCATAGCACCTTTAAGTGGCTACAATACACCCCGAGTTCACATTCCACAGCAGCAGTTCGACAATGACCTATATGACCATGGCGGCGATCATTTTGTGCCGAGTCAATGAGCAAGCTGCGCCTAGCAAGCTGCTCGTCAAGCTCTTCTAACTTCCGTAGTTTGCGTTGAACTTGCGGGAGGGATGCCACATCATCCACTTCTGGTCTTACACGTTCACTGAGTTTCTTCACCTCGGCCTCCAAAAACAACATTGAAAAAAAAAGAAATCCTTTGTTAAAATCTTTGTTCAAGAAGCAAACGCAATCCCCCAAAATCTCGAGTCTGTCTGATCCTTGGAGTTTGGCTATTGGTGGATAAGTCGTGACAACAAAAAACAATCTCAAGGAATGAACACTGAAGATTTGGAAGGACCTGTGAAGCTGCCAGCATCTCCTCCAGTTTTCCCACTTCTTCACACTTCATATCTAACTTGACACGATGCTCCGCCAGCTCCTAGCAAGTCGTCATCGTGCCATCGAAAATTGAAGCTTGGATCAAAAGTGCAATCAAAGCAACAACCGCAAGACACGCTTGGTTTTTCCAAAGCGACCTGACCTCCCCGCCGCCCGCTCCCTGATCGCTGGGAACTCCCGCCCCAAGAGCTTCTTGGGCCCCTGGGTACGTAGGGAACGTCCCACCTGTGCAATTTTTCGGGGGAGGGAAGCGAAAAATTCACCTACCAATCACTTGAGCCCCAAAGTGCACGGTCAAAATCTGTCATGACAAGTCATGAATGATTTCAATCACATACACTTGGGGATCAAAGCAACAACCGCAAGACACGCTTGCTTTCTCCACAGCGACCTGACCTCCCTGCCGCCCAGCGACCAGGAGCTTCCTGATCACTGGGAACTCCCAAACTCTACGAAATAACTTTTGCTCCTTTCTCACCGCGATTTTCCTCTTTACATTCAACCTTCACCTGCCTGCGTGCCCTCAGCGAGAAAACCCACTCCATGACCCACGCAGTCCGAGGCCCCATAGTTGCCCACCACACTGTTTGGAATTTTTGAACGGCGCCCCAACTGCTGCCATTCACTTCAACAAGGGCGACAGGTTGGGTTGAGAGGCGGGTGAGAGAGGGTGGTGGGAGGCTGGAGAAAGTCTGGGGGCCACCTCCTCAATGCAAAAGCCACAGAGGACACAGCTTCGATTGGGGGGTGTTGAAGAGAACGAGGAAGTTACGCAGACGGTATCTATGGAGGTGACCAAGATCAGCGCGCCATGGCTGTATTTCCGAAACCGAGACCAAAAAGGGTCATCGTGGCCATCAAGCTCTGGATGAAAGGAGGCGAGGAATCGGCAGAGATCATGGTGGAGGCCTTCACTGATAAGAAAGGCTTGTCATTGCTGGTCATTGAGCTGGCAAAGAGACTCCTGACAGATGCCGCCAATTGACATAGTCTAGGTTGGTCCCCGTCTCATAGCCAAGCGTCCTTTCGAGTCCCATATCATCGGCATCACTGCGTCCCCACTTCAGCCAGCTCCTCTGCCCGATATTCTCCAGCTTGGCCAGCGCGTTCTTCTCCTCGATCGTGCCATAGCGCTTTTTTCCCAGGGCAACGCGTATTGCAGACCACGGACCAGCTTGGGCAGCGCACGTTTGGGCCACATGATGTATCCATGCACCACATGTCAAAGTGCTAGATGCACCCTGCCACCTATCCCCAAAGCTTGGAACACCCTTTAGTGTGAGACACCCTTTCAAACGAAAAACCTTTTCTTGGAGGCCTAAGGACGATCTATGTCTGTCAGTTCTGGCTGAAGATGCGCTTGTTCACTGAACCCATCGTTGATCACAATTGCCAAGCGAAAAGTCCCAACAATTTGAGTTTGGGGTTGTTCTCCTTGACGTGTCCCCAACGCAACCAACCATTGAAAACAAGAAGCGCTCTCAACTGCTTGAGGTCTCGGGCGATGCGTTTGCCAGAGTAGTTGAACGAATTGCGCTCCACTAATCCACAGCCACAAGCTCTCTAGCATCACCGCCAAACCAGAAGGTCGTCGACATGCGACCCAAGACGTTCTTGCGCTCGCGAGCCACTGCAAGAAGGCGCGCGATCGTGCGCTTGAGCATCAAACGATTTCACCCTGCCACTGCCGGCGCAAGCCTGATCAGCGAACGCACATCCTCATGACCACACTAGGATGTCTGTTCAAAGGTTGTCTGAGAAGAGACCTAGCTGCGAAGACCTTCCACTTCCATCTCACCAGGGCGTTTCTCCATCTGTCACGCGCATTCGGTCTGAGCGCTCAAAATTTAGTGGAAGTCGCAGCGTTTGTAAAGAAAGGTGGGGCAGACGAAGGACCAGGTGTTCTCATTCTCCCTTGTCAAAGGCATCGTCTCAGCTCCAGAATGCATTTCACGAGGATGTGCAGGTGGTAGGCTGTGTCTGATTTTCCGACACGCCATCTCTTCTGCTCCAATGACCGAATGACCGTGGCAGTAACTTGCAAAACAGTTGCGAGAACGCAACCACATCTTTCAGCCCTGTTTTGCCAGGGCGCTCCAACTCCAATGCGCCAAAGAATCAAAGAAGCACGGAGTGTCCACTCACGACCTTGGTCTGCCACCAGGTCCAAACACAGGCAGCCGATGGGCCTTCAGCAACTCAGCCACAGCCACTGCCATCTTGCTCATCTTGCGATTCGGAATCGGTGGCGTGGACAACGTCGTATATGTATCTAGTTCCCTTGCCGCCCTCAGCCTCCAATAGCTCTATATATGTGACGGTCCTCACGTGTATTGGGAAGAGATCCAACATGCTGTGACTTTGGAGGTGCCTTCATCACAAATTGAACGCTGCTGGCGCTCGAATAGCTGTGCTCCAGAGGTTGCCGCCTGTGCCAAGTGTTCGCGTTAAGTTGAGCAACTACCCGAAATTTGGAATCATCTTCAGTCACGCTGTCCGCGATATAGATTCCACTGGATCCCTGAGCAACCTCACTGTTGAACAGCTGCTCCTTGCAATCCGCGCGCCCACGGTCCAGGACGCTGATATTGTCACTGCGCGGCGGGTAACGACCATCATGAGACCATGGGAGCAATTGATTTTGGATTTGGTTCCAAGTCGCTTAGCAGGGGGCGACAGGGTCGCTTCATGGCTGTCGCCAACATGCAGTTGACTAGGATATCACGGCTGATCGCCGTGAACGAACGACTACAATGTTTGGGTTGGCTGCCTAAGAAACAAGTGCAAGAACCAAGATGCTCAAAAGTTGTAAATCCGCAGCCCATCGTCCAACATGGCGTCAAGGTGGTGAAACGTGTGAATTCCAGTTTGATTAGTGGTCCGGGTTGAAATCATGTCAACACATGGAGGAACGTGTGCCGCTAAAGAAGCATGTCGTGTGGTTGTCGGTGACGTTAGAATCAAAGTGAGTGCTGTCAAACCTAAATGGTGTGTGTGTGGCTACGATATCCCGAACCAGGGTGACACCAGGGTGGAGCTCGTTGAGCGTTGCCCTTGCCGCCCCCGCGGCCTTTCCCTTTGCCTTTGCGCTGTTTCCCTTTGCCTTTTGGGCCAGGCCGGTTGCGTTTCTGGATTTCTTCTCTGGTGCGATTTATGAATACATTGATGACATCGTTGTCTCCTGCTCCGTCGTCCTTCGCCTTTTGACGTGAAGATAGGAGGGCCTTTCCAAGTTCATGCGCTAAGACATCTTGGATGGTCTGGGAAGCCAAGCCAAACTCAAGGCGGAGAACGAAATGGTTTTTGGCCCTGATCCATGACTGGGAAGCGTCGTCAAAAGTGCCTCTGGGTTGGGACTGATGAAACGCGTACTGTGTTCCAACGCTGGGCACAGCATATACCATTGATCCACTACCGCCGAGCTTTGAGGGTCGGGGTTGGCCTTATGCCAGTCAGATGATGATTGGTCAGATGGTATTGGGTAGGGCAGATGCAGAACATGGCCCAAGGCCTTCAGGACAGCCGCTGCGCCGTCTTTGCAGAGGTTCTTAAACTCACGGGTCACTTGGGCCTGCTGATAAATCGTCTCGAGGTCGGGCGCAAACTCGACGACCAGTTGTGTACTTTTTTCAATCCGGTCCAATCTCGTCTCATGCCTGTCAACCCTGGTCTCCAGCTTCGTGACTCCTTCTTGGAGAGAGTCGATGGCCTTTTTCATGTCCTTCAGCTGGGCCTTGGTTTCTGCCTTTGCCATTACTCGTGCCGAGGCTTAAAAGAGGGAGAACTCTACGCTGAGCACTTGATCCGACAATGCTATGGTGGACACAGGCGATGAAAGTGAATGGGTGTCGTGATCCTTTGTTCAACAGTCTATTGGGGTGTGACGGTGTGTGAGGGTGGGGAGCAGACAATGGGGGGTATACCGTGACACGTGGTCCGGTTGGCCAGTAGGTGACTGATGAAGTAGTTCATGCTCCCGAAGGAGACACCTCGGATGCGCCGGGTGAGTCGACCTACAGCGGTTGGGTGAGGAGAGGGGGGGTATCCTGTTGTTAGCCGCGTTGTGGACATTTAGCTTCATGGTTCTTGCGCGAAACCGTGGAACTAAAAATGTTGTGGCAAAATTCACACGTGCGGTTCGCGGGGTCGGGGCCGCGACACAGGGCCTCATGACGTGCTAGATTAGGTGTGGTAAATGTTTCATGGCAGAGCCATGCTTGAGTATGGTGAATTTTAGGGCCTCGGACAGGGCGCGGCGCAACTGGGCATATGTGGGTGCGTCTGCGCTTTTCACTACGCCAATTATTTCCGCAATGTGGGCATGCGTAGGTAGCAACTGTGATAAGATGTGGGACGGCCACGGCATGCTCATCTTCATAGTGGGCTTTGAGGCTATTAGACTTCTCGTATGATTGATCACAGCGGGGACATTTATATTGTCCTGTGGCAGGATCCGGTTGCATCACGCGGTGTCGCTTACGTCGTTCGCGGTTGAACTGAAATTGCACAGGGGGTGGCCGGGCTCGGGTGCTGGGGCGCCATCTATTGAGCGCCATTTCGGTCTGCTTATTTATCTTAGTGACTGGGTACGCATTGAGCACGGCCTGTTTCCAAGCGTCACGATCCTGGGCCAGTCTGAACCAGTCCAATTCATTGACATCTATCTGTGCAATGAGGTACTGCAACCATTGCCCCTGACGGAAAGGCGCGTGAGGCTTGATCAGGTGGTCTTGCCAAAAACCAAATAGAGCTTGTTTAGGGAGTCGAGCTTTGTCCATTCGCGCTACATGCCCTAACCAAAACAGACTCTGACGCGCTAAGGTTCCCATTGCGCTAACTCATTAAGTAAGCGGCTGTTTACGTGGTTCTCGCGTTTCCATCTTCGGGTGATAAGTAAACAGCGCTGGACCGCCCAATTGACGACTGTTTGAAGTTGTTTAATTTGTTCGCGGTTCCATGCTCGAGAACGGCCAAAGCTGGTGAGTGTCGGCATTACTACTGCTTTCATTATCCGGATGCGTAAGCTGTGCGGCAAATTCCGGCGTGTTGCACGGGCCCCAAAATGCCACGCCTTAGCTGTTTGATAAATTTTGTGATAGGCTCTAGACTTTCTGGTCATGGTATCGGTGTGGGTGCTTCCGGATTCTTGTAAAAAAAACCCGACATGACGGATGGTTGCTGGTTTCCCTTTGTGACGGACATCAGTAGGTGCGCGAGGGAAGGTCTGCAAACGAAGCCCTTCCGTTTTTTCCGGGTGCGCCTTTTCTTGCCAATCCCGCATCGTTGTTTCCAACAGGATTTCGGCCTGACTCATTTCTGCGGCGAGTCCAACTAGACCTGTGTCATCCGCAAAACCTATGTCTCCTAGGACTGTTTGTTCGGCCTTTTTGTGTAAATGTTGCCGGCTATGATATCCATGGTGGACCCTACCGTCTATCTTGGTTGTCCAGGGGATCCCTGGGGAGTAACCGGATTGGTTTGCCTGTTGCGCGCGGCGGACGCGGAAGTCTTCCATCACAGCGTGATGATACAGGTTAAAAAGAGGGGGTGATGATGGACATCCCTCGCGCAGGCCCTTATCTACTGAGTAGGGGGTGGAGAAACCTTTATGGATGCGAACCACATATTGCGTGTGTTCGTGCAACGCCTTGCAAACGTTAATAAACTCAGCTGGAGCGCCCTTGTGTGCCAGTAATGTCCATAGTGTGTCTCGACTGACGCGCGGGTAGGCTTTCTCTATGTCAAACAGCCGGATTAAGACAACATCCTGTGTATCGTGACTAGCCGCCGCTTCTTCGACTATGCGCCTGGGCCTAGTGACCTGTAAGGCATCATCTACGGATCTGCCGCGTCGAAACCCCATTTGTGTTTCATGAAGCCAAGTTTCGGTCCACGTTGGAGTCTTTGTGCCACTACCCTAGCTAAAAGTTTGGACCCCACGCTCAGCAATGTGATACCGCGATATGTGTTTTTATCTTGTGGGGAACCTTTCTTTTTCCCTAGTGGGATGACGGTGCCCGTGTGTGCTTCGGTAGCCGCCTGCCACATGTGTCGGACCAAATTATTGATTTGATTACGTAGTGTGGGACTACCATATTTGTAGAACTCAGCTAGGAAACCATCGGACCCCGCTGCTTTACCGTTTTTCATATGTTTGGCACAGGCAGCTAATTCTTCATCGCTCGGGGGAGTGCTTAATGCGGGGCCGGCCGGGTTACCGCGGGAGACATTGTTCCAAACATGTGCGGCTGCGTGTTCGCGGCCGGCTTGCAGTTGTTGAAAATGAAGTTTCCAGGCTTTGCGTTCTGCTTCGGGGTTGGGGACTGTGTGTGTATGTGGGCTGCGTTTTAAGTAGTGGTCCCGGAGGCCTAATATCTTATGGATAGCAAAAACTGACCGAGAATCCCCTTGTCGTTGCGCAGTGATTAGTTCATCCGTAAGAGAATCTAACCAGGTCCATTTCCAACGCAAGCGTGTCTGACGTCGATGGTGCCCAGCTTGTCGGTATGCGTGTTTGGCCTCGTCATACATGTGTTGGCGTGCTGCATCTCGTGGTAACATGTCATGGTCAAAAGTTCGCAGGTATGCGTGTGCATCATGAACAGCTATGTCCAATTGTGCGTTCTCGATTTCATGGCCGACGAGATGGGGGCGCTTACTGATTTTGTGTTGGAGACCTAGGACGGCTGTGGATGTGTGCAGACAGAGGGAGGAGAGAGTGTCCCAGCTCAGTTGTTGCTTGCACCGGCAGCTTGGAGGGCTTGGTCCAATTGTCGACGCCAGTGTTGTTGAAGGATGTGGCTTTGTTCGCCGGGGAGAGCCAGGCGGTTAACCTGTGGACGTGGGGCCGTCACCGGATCAGTCGGACGAGGGGCGAACCGGGGCCAGTAGTGGAACTTGATTTCCACCGGGAGGTGGTCCGTGAAGTCGTCCCAATACAGCCGATCAGATGGAGCAACATGCTGAGGATCGACCCGGCGAAGAGGAGTGCCAGCGTTGCCTCGGCGTCCTTCATGCACAGTTTTGACGTTGTCAAAGTAGCGGAGCTGATGCGCTGGCGTTAGGACATGATCGAGGATGTGGCCTGTGGAGCGCGCTGGGTGCCACCAGGTGCATCGCTTGGCGTGTGGTTGGGAGAACTTGGTGTCCACCAGTGTCATGTGCTCGCGAGTACACCATTCAAGCAGACGGTGGCCACTAGGACTGGTACGGGCGCTGCCCCAGGGCCAGGATTGAAGGATGTTGGCCGTGAAGAGCATGATGTATCTCAGCATTGAAATCCCCTCCGATGATGGTCAGGTCGCCGGCTGGGATCTTACTACGAACTTCGGAGAGCTGAGTGAGGAACGCGTTCCTTTCTGCTGCGGGGGCGCTACTGACAGGGGCATAAGCTACGACCAGCGCGAGGCCTACACGGTGTCCTTGTCTGGGAATGTGGAGGGCAAAAACTCGTTCAGATTGGGCTCGAGGGCGAATTCGGTGACAGCCGCCGGCCTGCCACGAAGCCAGCATAGAAGGGTCAAGGGCGATAGCCACTTTGCCTGCAAGTTCAAGATGCCAAGGTATGGCGTCGACTTCGATCTGAAGGCTGACATCAGAAGAGAACGTCACATCATCAGTGAAAAGGCAAGCGTTCCATTGACGACGGGCAGCCAGTCGCAGAAGGCAGCAGGTTTTGGAGTACGGATCATACGGCGCGTTGTTACTTCCCCAGCGGCGAACGTTCCATAAGCCAAGCTTCCATTGACTACGTTGGCGTCCGTGTGTACCAGACTTGAGGTGAAGCCGATTTTTGAGTCGTCGATAGATGGCCAACTTACGGGCCCTACGTTTACGACGAAGTGTGCGTTTACTGATTCCCCGGACCATCAGGTCGGCCAGATATGAGGGCAAGTAGCTAAAAGCCAGAGGTACGGTATGTGAACAGATGCCATGTGGAGACACAGGGGTGTGTAGTCAGCAAAACCCTCAAATACGACATGAAGCAACGTATTTTTACCCGGCAGTCCACCCAAAAAACTGCCCGGAGCGACCTCCCACGTATCGGCGAGGCAGTGACAACCACCGAAGTGGAGGCCACCAACACCTCGAGATACAGCCTGAAACCTCACCTTGCAACCTCTAAGGCGCGGCGAAGCACCTGGAGTATGGGGGCCGCGAAGTGTGTGTGTGTGTGGCTCTACGTCGCTCGCAGCTTAAAAACTCCAAGTACATGACATGCGGAAACTTCGGATCAAAGTGAAGGATGTCCCTTGGCAATGTGTATGCACCGCCATGAGAGCGAGCACCCAAAGGGTATGTAGTTGGTCAGGACTGGACTGATCTAGCGTCACTGTGCAAGAAGCAGCGCGTCAGCGCCCTTTTTTCTGTAGTTCTGCTGGAGTTCGAGTTTCTACACTAATGCAGTCGAGTCCCTAAGCCTGAGCACCACGGCAAGGTGCGCCACTCGCTCAGGTACGTACCTGCTCGCCGTGACGTACCTGCTCTGCTGTGATGTTCTCCAAGCTGTCACTCCAATCTTCCATAAAGGGCTAATGCATTCTGCGGATGTACACGGTCGTTTCACTTCGCCTTGTCGCCGCTTCGATGCCTAGTGGATTTTGACTTTTTTGGCCTCCTAATGACTAACGATGATCAGACCCCCTTACATGACTTTCTCAGGAATATGGTTACCTAGGTCGCTCTGTGGCAAATGGCTTTCAGTTCCGTACGCAATATCTCGAGTGTGTGTGGCTCGGGATGTTGCCTTGCACAGGGTAGAGTATAGTAAACAGTGCGGCGTGTAGCTTGTGGTCGATGCGCTGCAGACTGCGCGGTGGGCCTTAACACCAACCTCTCTGGCCGCGAGTTTAGTTGTTGCGTTCCACCCCAAAATGTCGCCTTAACAGTTAACAGTTATCATGTTGGCAGTTCATGCAGGGTGGGCCTTAACACTCACCATTTTGGCACAGTCACAAGGGGGTAGTAATGAATCGTATTGCTGTCTAGGAGTGTATTTGGAATCAAGCACCAATCCAACAACGACTTTGTGACATCCACACCACCCAGAGCTGTTGCCTTAATGAGAGCAATAAGCTAGATTCTAGCTGCTAAAGCTGCTCAAGCACTTGTCAAAGTAGTTGCAATGTTTACCGTGTATAGCATGTTCTGATTCTTTGTCGACATCACACTAGACGCCTGCCGCTTCAGACCAGGCCGGACACGTGGGCTCAATGGTGCTGTAAACTACTCCAGTTTGGGCAGTTGGGAACATGGAAAAAAGAAGTCTATAATTGCACTCAGGTTGAATGTTCCCGGTCCTTTGCCATAGCCTCATTGGCATCATCCATGGCCCCAGCCGAGACAGCGCTCCCCACAAGCCGCTGTTCCAGCGTACGTAGCTCAGTTGTCACGGTCTGGCAATCTTTGAACATCTTTACAACACCAAGCTTGTCGTCCAAACGTTGTCCAAGTATTCCCAATGTCACTGCAAGCCTTCACTTCTAAATGGGAAGCATGTGCTCTTGATGCGTCCATGCCCAGCCTGCCGCTCTTCACGTTCTCTGCGCAGGTTGTCTGCAAGCTCCTGGGGGACACGCAAACGAAAACCACGGCAAGGACGATCGCGCAAACTATGTGTCGAAATTAGAGACATCCGCAGTGCTTACAAAGCACATGAGTGCAGCTAACCAAGAAGCTGACTACCCTTGGGAAAGCTTTGCAAAGCGAAAAACTGTGAAAATTGTGCAGCACATCTCTCACTTCTCCTTCATGCGGCGTTCGGACTCTTTGAGTCGTGCCTCCTGGCTGATCAGCCGGCGCTCGGCATCAGCCCTCGAGAGGACCTTCTTTTGTGTCTTGACAGCATCCTTGCAGGAAAGCTGTGAAGGACAAAGCAAACGAAGCAGAAGACTTTGAATCGACAAATTCATAGAAACTGATTAGGGGGCCAGGCTAGGCCATGAGGAGAGCTGTCTCAAGTAGCTAGTAGAAAGGGGGCTGGTAGCTTGAGTAGCAGGCTTCAGACGCAGAAGAGCTCAGATTGATTTGGTTTCTAGGTTATATTGAACTTAAGCAAAAACCGTGTATCCTGTAATGGCAAGAACCTGTAACATTTACAGAAGCATTGCTTGTGGGGAAGTGACATCCAAGACAGGTAAAAAAAGTTACACCGGCATAGACCCAGATAGCTAGGCAGAATCCACGACCTGTTGACATGCGACTGGTGGAACAAGAATGTACGCAGCCTGCACAGCCAGCTTAAGGCACCTCCACAGCGCGCACAATCAGCTGACACCAGCACCGGTGCGCTTTGCCAGCTGACAACACCGGCAGCGGCGCCAGCACCCGACCAGCGCCGCCGCCCGTCTTAAACGCGCGCTCAGCCAGCTCACAGCACCAGCACCCAGGACCACAACATTCTTACTTGCAGCAAGAACCCCATAGCTATCCCTATTTGGGGAATAACAACGTATGATCTTGCGCGTATAAGTTTATGCGCGCAAAAGTATGCGCGCAAACAGCAAAGCCCGTAAGTGTCATTGGCCCAAGGCCAAGCAGTATCCAGTGCCGCTATTGACTTTGCAGCATGCTTGGAGCAACGATCTGCAGAACGACAAGGCCGTATGATCTTGCGCGCACAAAAGTGTGCGCACAAACGGCAAAACACGCGCACTCACAGCACCCAGCACCAGCACCACAGCCCACCCGAACCAGGAGCCGGCAGCGGCACCCAGCACCGGCACCCTGTTTCCACCACGCGCACAGCCAGTTCACAGCACCAGCACCAGCACCGGCACCCGGCACCAGCACCAGCAACGTGTCTCCACCACGTGCAGCCAGCTCACAGCACCAGCGCCAGCACCGGCACCCACCCAGCACCAGCACCGGCACCCGGCACCAGCACCAGCAACCTGTCTCCCCAGCACCAGCACCGGCACCCGCACCAGCACCAGCAACCTGTCTCCACCACATGCACAGCCAGCTCACAGCACCAGCACCAGCACCGGCACCCAGCACCAGCAACCTGTCTCGAAAGCGCGCACAGGCATTTCATTGTTATTTGAAGTAAGAACTCCATAGCTTCGCTATCTGGGGAAAAAATACACCAGCATAGACCCAGATTGCTAGGCAGAATCCCACGACCTGTTGACATGCGACTGGCTGGAACAAGAATGTACGCAGCCTGCACAGCCAGCTTACGGCACCTCCACAGCGCGCACAATCAGCTGACACCGGCACCGGCGCGCTTGCCCGTCTTAGACGCACGCACCAGCGCCCAGCACCGGTATACCCAGCACCAGCACCCGGGACCCAGCACCCGGCACCCTGTCTCCACCAAGTGGACAGGCAGCGCCAGCTCACAGCACCGGCACCGGCCCCCGCGCTACTGCCAGCACCCAGCACCGGCACCGTGTCTCCACCACGCGCACAGCCAGCTTACAGCACCCAGCACCAGCACCACAGCCCGCACCAGCATCCAGCACCTCTCTCCACCCGCGCACAGCCAGCACCGAGCACCAGCACCGGCACCCTGTCTCCACCACGTGCACAGCCAGCTCACAGCACCAGCACCAGCA